GCTCATGACCACTGCAGCCTTGACCTGCCGGGCTCAGGTGATCCTTCCACCTCAGCCTTCCAAATAGCTGGAACCACAGGCGCGAGCCACCACACCTAGCTAATTTTTAAAAAATTTATTGTAGAGATGAGGCCTCGCCAAGTTGCTCACGCTGGTCTTGAACCCCTGAGCTCAGGCAATCCTCTACCCTCTGCCTCCCAAAGTGCTGGACCACAGGCATGAGCCACCATATCCGGCGAGACCCTATCTTTTTCTTTTTTCTTTTTTGAGTTGGGGTTTCACTCCGTTGCCCAGACTGGAGTGCAGTGGCACGCTCCCGGCCACCACAACCTTGACCTGCTGGGCTCCGGCGATTCTTCAGCCTCAGCCTTCTGAGTAGCCGGAATTACAGGTGCGCGCTACCATGCCTGGCTAATTTATTATTTTATTGTAGAGATGAATACAAGTTGCTTGGGTGGGTGTCAAACCCACAGGCTTAGGCAATCCACTCACCTCAGCCTCCCAAAGTGCTAGGATTACAGGCTGAGCCACTGAGCCTGGCGACCCTGCCTTTAAAAAATAAATTAACTAAATAAAAACACAGGCCTTTGGAGAGCCCAAGGATCTCAGGAGCTGTATACCAGGAAATGGAAAGAAAGCCAAACGTTATTTTACAATATCACACACACCATTACAACATGTGCCTTTCTGGAACTAGCATCTCTCTTTGCTTTGTAGTGATGAACAGCCAAGAGAATTAGGGTTGCAGCTTGGCGAATGAGCTTGGGGTTCCAAGATGGGATAAAGGCAGTAGACGTTAGGGTCCTGGCAGCAGCCAAAATGGACGATCTTGTGGCCAGGGGAGCTGTCTGCCGGGACCTTGACATTGGGGCACACGATGAGCTGGAATGAGGGTGTCTGGTGATCCGTGTATACCAGGCCTTCAGGACAGGTGGCCTGAGGGGATCTGGGCTGTGGGTCGGTAAGTCTCAGGCAAGGACTGGTCTTGACTCCGCCCTCAGGTCCGTGCTGTTTCTGAGTTTGTTTTTGCTGAACAGGCTTACATTTTTCTTTCTTGAGTTTTGCTCTGTGATTTTTGAACCAGACCTGAGGGAAAAGAGACAAGAGCTCTGGGTTGGTAAATGGGGCGAGTTTCCAGAGGAGTTTGTATTTTTTTTAGTTGATTTTTTTGTGTGTTTTTTTGAGTTAGAGTCTCACTCTGTTGCCCTGGCTGGAGTGCAGTAACACACTCATGGCCACTGCAGCCTCGACCTGCTGGGCTCAGGCAACCCTTCCACCTTAGCCTTCCAAGTAACTGGAACTACAGGTTCACACCACCACAGCTGGCTAAATTCTTTTTGGTTTAATTGTAGAGATGAGGTCTTGCCAAGTTGCCCAGGTTGGTCTCGAACCCCTGGGCTCAGGCAATCCTCTCCCCTCAGCCTCCCAAAGTGCTGGGATTATAGGCGTGAGCCACCATGCCTGGCTTTTTTTTTTTTTTTGGTTGAGATTTCACTCTGTCGCCTAGGCTAGAGTGCAGTGGTATGGATCACTGCTCACCACAGCCTTGACCTTCTGAGCTCAGGTGATCCTCCCTCCTCAGCCCCTTAAGTAGCAGGGATTACAGGTACGTGCCACCATGCCTGGCTAATATTTTGATTTTTTTGTGGAGACGAGTTCTGGCTATGTTGTCCAGTCTGGTCTCAGACTCCTGGGCTCAAGTGATCCTCCCACCTCAGACTCCCAAAGTGCTGAGATTACAGCTATGAGCTGCTGTGCTCGGCTAGAGTTTGTATTCAACTGAATAATAAATAGGGGTACTTCTAGGCAAGAAGAGTTAGCTCCTCAGGCACTCATAATCTATTTGTGGGACCCTTCTCCACCTACTCTTGGGAAAAATAAGAAATAAATAATTGTGAGTACAGAAATAAGGCAGAGATCAGAAAAGCCAGGACAGGGGATAGGAGAGCAAAGGGATCAGGGTCAGTCCCAGGTTATGCGTTAGGGCTGGGGTCAGCAAACTAAGGCTCGTGGCCAACTCTGGCTCATCACTATCTTTCTATGGCCCAGCAGATAAGAGTAGGTTTCACATTTTTATTTTATGTATTCTTTTTTTTGAGTCGGAGTCTCACTCTGTCACCCAGACTGGAGTGCAATGGCCGCTCCCGGCCACCGCAGCCTCGACCTGCTGGGCTCTGGCGATCCTTCTGCCTTAGCCTTCCAAGTAGCTGGAACTACAGGTGCACACTACCGTGCCCAGCTAATTTTTGATTTATAGTAGAAATGAGGTCTTGTCAAGTTGCCCAGGTGGGTCTCGAACCTGCAGGCTCAGGCAATCCACTCACCTCGGCCTCCCAAAGTGCTGGGATTACAGGCTGAGTCACCGAGCCCGGCCTTATGTATTTTTTGAGTCAGAGTCTCACTCTTTTGCGCAGGCTGGAGTGCACTGGCACGCTCATGGCCACCACAACCTTGACCTGCTGGGCTCAGGAGATCCTTCCAGCACAGCCTCCCAAGTAGCTGGAACCACAGGTGTATGCCACTACGTCTGGCTGATTTTTTGATTTACTGTAGAGGCGAAGTCTCACTATGTTGCCCATGCTGGTCTCGAGCCCCTGGGCTTAGGCAGTCATTTCACCTCTGCCTCCCAAAGTGCTGGGATTACAGGTGTGAACCACCGTGCCCACAACATTCATTCATTCATTTATTTATTTATAAGAGATGGGGCTCTCACTATGTTGCCCAGGCCAGGCTCAAACACCTGGCTCAAGCTGTCCTCCCACCTTGACCTCCCAACATGCTGGGATCACAAGTGTGAGCCATTGTACCATTTTTAAATGGTTGGAAAAAAAATCAAACACAATAAGAATACTATTTTGTGTCATGAAAATTATATGAACTTTAAGTTTGTGCCCATAGAGTTTTTTGGCAACACTGGCATAGGCATGGTGGCACACCCCTGTAATCTGAGCACTTTGGGAGACTGAGGTGGGAGGATCACCTGAGGCCAGGACTTCAAGCCCAGCATGGGCAACATAGTGAGACCCCATCGCTAGAAGAAATTTGGAAAGTGAAATGGGGGAGAGCTGCACCCCGCCGTCCTCCAATAAAAGTGTGAGATCCCTGAAAAAAAAAAAGAAAAATGAAATGACAAAAATAGATAAATGAATAGATAATCAAAAAGAAATATGAGAACACAGACACACCCCCATTGGTTTGCATATTGTGTGGTGGCTTTCGCACTCCAATGGCAGCAACAGTGAAAGCATGGCTCACAAAATCTCAAATATTTTCTTCTGGTTCTTTACCAAAAAAGCTTGCCCATTCTTGTTTGTTTTTTGAGTCAGGGCCTCATTATGCTGCCCAGACTGGAGTGCAGTGACGGGATCACGGACTCACTGAAGCTTCGATCTCCTGGGCTCAGCTGATCCTCTCGCCTCAACCTCCCAAGTAGCTGAGACTACAGGTGTGTGCCACCACACCTAGCTAATTCTTTGACTTTTTGTAGAGATGGGGTCTTGTTATGCTGCCCAGGCTGGTCTTGAATTCCTGGGTTTGCCCATTCTTGCTCTAGAGATTTGAATGAGAACAGGAGTGCCTGGGCCTTTGGAGAATCGGGGTTCCAAAACTCGGGGATGATGACCCTAGGGGACCTCTGAGTCTGAGTTTAGATGTGTCCAGGGAGCTTGGCGAGAAGTGGAGTCACTTGCTAACCTGCAGTACTGTCGGAGGCAAGTCCAGCTGCGAGGCCATCTCCCTCTGAAGGCTGGGGCTTGGGTATGGGTTCTCAGTGAACAAAACGTTCAGATCTTCCAGCTGCTTCTTGGTGAATATGGTCCGTTTCCTGTGCGAGTGCTCCTGGCGCTTGTCTTGCAAGAAGGACAAATCACATACATGTTCACAGTTCCATTTTCAGACCCTGAATGTCCACCCAGAGGCAAAGCCTGGCAATTGCAGGACCGAGGGCCTAGGAGATTTTATGCGCACGTGCGTACACACACACACACACACACACACACACCCCACAAACTGGGGTGCCAAAAAATGTATGCACTTTTTTTTTAAATTTGGAATCTCACTCTGTTGCCCAGGCCGGAGTGCAGTGGCACACTCACGGCCACCGCAGCCTCGACCTGCTGGGCTCAGGCAATCCTTCCCCATCAGCCTTCCAAGTAGTTGGAGCTATAGGCATGCACCACCACACCCGGCTAATTTTTTGATTTATTGTAGAGATGAGGTCTCACCAAGTTTCCCGGGCTGATCTTGAATCCATGGGCTCAGACAATCCTCACCTTGGCCTCCCAAAGTACTGGGATTATAGGCGTGAGCCACAGCGCCCAGCCTATGTATGCACATTGAAAGGGATGTTATCTATGTATTACTTAAAAAAAAAAAAATGTAGAGACGAGGTCTCACACCCCTAGGCTCAGGCAGTCCTCTTGCGCCTGTCTCCCAAAGTGCTGGGATTACAGATGAGAACCACCATGCTTGACTATGTATTACTTTTAGTTTGCCATAGAAACGTCTGAGGGTCAGGCTTGGTGGCTCATCCTGTAATGGGTGTGGTAGTGCGTGCCTATAGTTACGGTTAATTGGAAGCCTGAGGCAGAAGGATTGTTGGAGCCCAGCAAGTCAATACTGGGGTGGCTGTGAGTGTGCCACTGCACTCCAGCCTGAGTGACGGAGTGAGACTCCAACTCAAAAAAAAAAAAAAAATGAAACGTCTGGACGCTGATGGTAACCACTCTGAGCACCTCTTGTAATTTCAGAAGTCAAACTTGACTTGTATTAATTTTTTGTTATTGGCATATACTGAGTATTACAATTATAATAGATTTTTCTTTTCTTAAAATGTGCACACATTGTTTTGGCACCCAGTGCATATATGCTATTTATTACGTATTATATAATTCTTTATACATATTTAATAAGCTGTGTTTAATATATTATATATCACTTTTTTTTTGTCAGGGTCTCACTTTCTTGCCCAGGCTGGAGTGCAGTGGCACGTTGATGACTCACCACAGCCTCAAACTCCTGGGCTCAAGTGATCTTCCTGCCTCAGCCTCCTGAACAGCTGAGACTACAGGCATGCCACCATGCCCACCTAAATCTTTTTTTGATGTTTTTCTCAGAGATGGGGGTCATACTTTGTTGCTCAGGCTGGTCTCAAACACCTGGCCTCCTGCCTTAGTCTTCTAAAGTGCTGGAACTACAGGCACGCACCACCATGCCCAGCCAAATTTTTTTTTTTTTTTGAGTTGGAGTCTCACCTTGTCGCCCAGACTGGAGTGCAGTGGCCGCTCCCGGTCACCGCAGCCTCGACCTGCTGGACCCCGGTGATCTTTCCACCTCAGCCTTCTGAGTTGCCGGAATTACAGGCTCGTGCTACCACGCCCGGCTGATTTTTTTATTTATTGTAGAGATGAGGTCTCGCTGCCCAGGCGGGTCTCGAACCCGCGGGCTCAGGCAATCCACTCACCTCAGCCTCCCAAAGGCGCGGGATTACAGGCTGAGCCACCGAGCCCAGCTTTTTTTTTTTTTTTTTTTGAGTTGGAGTCTCACTGTCACCCAGACTGGAGTGCAGTGGCCGCTCCCGGCCACCGCAGCCTTGACCTGCTGGGCTCCAGCGATCCTTCCGCCTCAGCCTTCCAAGTAGCTGGAACTACAGGCACGCGCTACCATGCCTGGCTCATTTTGATTTTTTTATTGTAGAGATGAGGTCTCTCCAAGTTGCCCAGGCAGGTCTCAAACCCGCGGGCTCAGGTAATCCACTCGCCTCAGCCTCCCAAAGGCACGGGATTACAGGCTAAGCCACCAAGCCTGGCTCCAGCCAAATATTTTATTTTTATTTATTTTTTTGAGTTGGAGTCTCACTCTGTCATCCAGGCTGAAGTTCAGTGGCATACTCATGGCCACCCCAGCATCGACCTGCTGGGCTCAGGTGATGCTTCTGGCTCAGCCTTCCAAGTAGCTGGAACTACAGGAGCACACCACCACACCTGGCTAATTTTTGTGATTTATTGTAGAAACAAGGTCTCACCAAGTTGCCCAGGCTGGTCTCGAAGCCCTAGGCTCAGGCAATTCTCTGGCCTCGGCCTCCCAAAGTGCTGGGATTATAGACTGAGCCACCGCACCTGCCCCAAATTTTTTATTTTTGTTAGACAAGGTCTTGCTACGTTGGCTAGGCTGGTTTCAAATTCCTGGGCTCATACAATGTGCCGGGATGATAGGCGTAAGCCACTGCACCTGGCCAGTTCTTAGACATTGACATGCTATGTATGTGACTTATCCACTAGTTTCCTGAAGCGTCATTTTGCCACGACTCCCTATAGATAACAAAGTTGTTTGCTTTCCCCCTTGGTTCTTTGGGTCCTTTTTGACTGCTGTTATTTATTTGAGTTAGAGTCTCACTCCGTCGCCCAGGCTGGAGTGCAGTGTCACACTCACGGCCACCCCAGCGACGACCTGCTGGGCTCCGGTGAGCCCTCCTCCTCAGCCTTCCAAGTAACCAGAACGACAGGTGCATGCTACCACACCTAACTGATTTTTTATTTGTTGTGGAGACGAGATATCCCCAAGTTTCCTGAGCTGGTCTCAGACCCGCCGGCTCAGGTAATTCACTCACCTTGGCCTCCCAAAGTGCTGCGATTACAGGCTGAACCACCTGTATTGGCCCAGCCTTTTTTTTTTTTTTTTTTTTGAGTGGGAATCTTACTCTGTCACCCAGGCTGGAGAGCAGTGGCACGCTCACGGCCACAGCAACCTTGACCTCCTGGGCTCAGGTGATCCTTCTACCTCAGCCTTCCAAGTAACTGGAAGTATAGGAGCTCACTATCACACACACCTGGCTTATTTTTTTGACTTATTGTAGAGACGAGGTCGCGCCAAGTTGCTCAGGTTAGTCACGAACCCCTCAGCTCAGGTAATCCTCTCGCCTTGGCCTCCCAAAGTGCTGGGATTACAGGCTTGAGCCACCAGGCCTAGATGGCTGTTATCATTTAAGTATGGGATCTCGTGTGTCTTAAATTCTCAGATTTGATTTTTTTGTGTGTATTAGAAAAATGACTGGGCACAGTGGCTCACAATTATTATCTCACCAAATTGTCCAGGCTGGTCTCAAACCCCTGGGCTCAAACAATCCTCTGCCTCCCAAAGTGCTGGGATGGCAGCCATATGCTGTGCCCGGCTAGAAGTCTCCATTTTATAGATAAAGTTGCTGTAAGATGGAGACTTCTATCCTGGACAACTTCGTGAGACCTCATCTCTACAATAAATAAAAAAATTAGGCCGGACTCAGTGGCTCAGCCTGTAATCCCGCGCTTTGGGAGGCTGAGGGTGAGTGGATTGCTTGAGCTCGCGGGTTCGAGACCCGCCTGGGCAACTTGGCGAACCTCATCTCTACAATAAATAAAAAAAAAAATTAGCCCGACGTGGTAGCACATGCCTGTAATTCCGGCTACTCGGAAGGCTGAGGCGGAAGGATCACTGGAGTTCAACAGGATGAAGCTGCAGTGGCCGGGAGCAACCACTGCACTCCAGTATGGGTGACAGAGTGAGACTCCAACTCAAAAAAAAAAAAAAGATGGAGACTTCTGGCCTGGTACAGTGGCTCACGCCTGCAGTTTTAACAATTTGGGAGGCTGAGGCGTGAGGATTGTTTGAGGCTGGGAGCTCAAGGAAACATAGTGAGACCTGGTCTCTAAATAAACAAAAAAACAAATAAATTGAGACCGTTAACCGTGACCTCTTTAAAAGATTTCAGTGAGCCGGGCTCGGGGCTCAGCCTGTAATCCCACGCCTTGGGAGGCTGAGGTGAGTGGATTGCCTGAGCCTGCCAGTTCAAGACCTGCCTGGGCAACTTGGCAAGACCTCATCTCTACAGTAAATAAAAAATGAGCCGGGCGTGGTAGCGCGTGCCTGTAATTCTGGCTACTCAGAAGGCTGAGGCGGAAGGATCACTGGAGCCCAGTGGGTCGAGGCTGTGGCGGCCAGGAGCAGCCACTGCACTCCAGTCCGGGCGACAGAGTGAAACTCCAACGCAAAAAAAAAAAAGAAAAGTATCAGATCCTGCCTGAAAATGGTTTAGTACAAACCCTGATATCTAGTAAATACTCAATCATATGAAATTTCCCAACTTGGTTAAATCTATATTTTTTTTTTTTTTTTTTTTGAGTTG